TCTGAATGCCAGCTCTAAAATGCAAGTTAAAGTATTATTGCTTTAAATGTTCTGTTTAAATCATTTGGGATTCCCAACAAGAAAAAAATACTTCAAAGCAAAGGAAACATTCAATATAACATGTTCTCTTTATAGAACTGGTGTTCAATTTAGCAAACAAATAAGCCAAAAAAAAAAAAAAGGATTTGTCTTTACTTTAAAATACCATAGGACCTGCACAGCACACAGCTTGCCAAGCAGCCTTGTGTGGCTTGCCAGTGTTTTTTAAAAACTCAATAAACAACCACTGCCAAACGTTGCTGTTACCAGAAAGGATCCACCCCCCCCCCAAAAGATATGCTCCAAGCCTCACTGACACCACCAGCTCCATTGCTACAACCACACCACTAGCCACTGAACAGCTGATCAATGCGCCAGGTATTCCTTTGCAGCCCACAATTATTTTTAATTTATTAAGGTGGCCCTTTCCCCTCTACGAGTTGTGCAGGCCAGCCATAGGACATCTCATCTAGAAACTCTACTAAGTCAAAATAATATTTATTTCAAAAGGAAATAAATGGCTTTTTTTTTTAATTATAAGCCCTCTTCTAAGAACCTCCCCAGAATATGATACTGTATTTTATCTATGTATGCTTGATAACCAGTTGAGGGTTTTCATGTCCTCAAACATGTTTTATTCTCCACATCATATTTTATGGTCACAGCCTCACTTTTATTAATACTTCTTTTCTCCCTCTACTCATATTTCTCTACAATCCAGGATTATGAATAAACTTTTGTCCCACTGCCTTTCATACTAAAATCCATATTTACAAATGTTTTATGCACCCTAAAAGCAAAATCGCTGTTTGCATTGTCTGCAATAATGTAAATTATCTGCAACACTATCATTATACTGTGCAGAGTTATGAAGCCATTTTTATGTCCCTCAAAAAATCAAAAAGCATTCTGCCTCAATGGCTGGCACTCAGTTCCTGAACTGCAATATTCACTTTCAAGAATAAATAAAATTAATAAAGGAAGGCAGTATTTTCCTCAGTGCTGATAAATATGGAAGTCACATGCAAAATAAGAGAACGATCATAACCGCAGCATAAATACTGGCTGAAGGAAAGTAATTCCCAAAATTGGAGCCCTGATCATTCTTTCAGTCTTCTATTATATTTTACCCAAGGCAGTAAAGCTACTTTTTCAGGGACAGATTTCTAATAATCCCATCTTCTTTTATTACCAGAATTACATGTACACATCTACAAACACATATATAAACATATGCACAGATTTGGGGGTGCCCACCAACATACTTTTCAGTTTTCCTATTGTTATGAAAAGTCTGGATGGCAGACAAGATTACATGGTAGAACTAGGAGATAAAGTCAATACAATTCATTTCTACACTACTTCTTGCAGCAAATGCCTACATTTTTCTACTCATCTTCATGTATTCAGGATATTTGCTCACAGCTCAATCATAAACTGGCAGAAGTTAACTTAATCAACAAATGTTTCCACTAATAAGAATCATATTCCTCAATAAACAAATGAAGAAGTATGTTTTTGACTCTTGTTTAATTGGGTTCTCTTTATCTAGTTTTAGGACTTGTGTGGAAAACAGATCACATTTTAGGTTATATTTATGCAGAAATATTGAAAATTCAAAAGGGTTCACAAATTTTTTAAGCACCACTATATATTGCAGCAATAAGAGTTCTGAAATATTAGCCTTTATTGCCACTGACAGCATGCTGTGTGGCAGTTCTATTTAAGTGAACCTCAACCTGCTGGGAAGATCTCCCTTCAGACCACTGTGACATTTTTGCTATAATAAAATTATATTGCTGTAATATTTTGCTGTAATAAAATAATTACAGCTGCCCATAACTGGATACCATTTAGAGCAGTGTTTCTCAACCTTCGCAACTTTAAGATGTATGGACATCAACTCCCAGAATTCCCCAACCAGCCATGGATTCATCTGAGCTTGTAGAAAGAGTTTCCTGCAATATGAGCTCTGGCACCTGTGAAACAGATCCATGGCCCTCCTATTTTTTTCATTTCAGGAAGCTAGGGGAAGGGTGGTGGCTAAATCTGATGCTTCTTTGAAGGAGGAGGATAGTCCCTACAGCACTGAAAGAGGCAGTGGTACACTCCTGAGAAGATTTCTCTCAATCCAGCCATGCAGGGCAACTTACTAATGGCAACATTCAGATGCTACACAGGAATAAATTTTATATTAGACATTTCTTTGTGCTACACAAAAGCCCACTGTATCCTTTTAATCAACATACTGTACCTTTTGAACATCTGCATCATGTTTCTGCTGTAATTTCAGCTTTTCTTCATGAAGTCTAGCTTCCATCAATTTTGATTTCATCTCCAGCTATAAATTGGAAGTTGCACATACTGATCAGTTTCATAGACAACACTTACCCTTCCCTATAAACCAAAACAGCTTCAAGAGCCTTTAAATCTGAGGTAACAATAACAAGTCAAGACCCACTGGCAATTATCTAGCCTGCTGTGGGTGGAACTCAAATGAATTAAAGAGTCACAAATCTTATAGACATTGAATTCCCTTTGGATAGAGAAGCAGTTTTGATTCAGTCAAGCCTCTACAACGCCATTGCTTGGTCATGAAATAATACTTTTAGACAAATTGGTCAATATTTCTTTTAAAGTTTACTTAAGGCTATCCTGTGCATTTATATCGATAAAACTGCACATTGCTTCTTTTGGCTAACATTACCCAACTGGCAATAAACAGTTTTTCTGACTGTTCACTGATTTTTTCTCCCCAGATATTGATATATTGGCCTCATCCTACACACCTACCAGTTTGGTTGGGATATTCTTATCTCTGTCCTTTAGCACTTGACATACTGCCTCCGCTGTTCCCACCAGCTTATACAAGGAGGAAGAAGAGGCAAAATAATACACAAATCAGAATGGCTCATTTTCAACTCAAAACTACAGCTAAATATATTGAACTTGGATAAAAATAATATGCAATTCCTTTTCATATATCTTTTTCTTTTACTAATTCTATCGTTTAGAAATGCAGTAGAAATCAGCAGAAAAATGCAGCAACCAATCAGAAAAAAAAATTACTTAAAAGATGCACAAAACAAGCATATATATAGTCCAAAGTCATCCGCATGGAAGGCCCAGTCTACTTCTGTTCACTATAACTTGTGATGCAATGTTATGATACATTCTTCAGCCAGAAGTAATATTCATTCTGCAATCTGGATACACTTAACTACTAATAAATCATTGGTGAACAGTTTGAAGGTTATCCTACTGAAATCACTTTGGATTAAAATCAGAAAACAAACACCAGTAAGTGTGTTTTGTTTATATCTGAGTGCATTGTGCAAACATTCCCATTGGAACAATTAATACATAAGATTATTCTACAAAGCTCACCTCACCCAAAGTATCCACTAAAATTAGAATATATAATTTAGTTGAATAGCCCTAAGATTTCTGAACAAAGACCTTATTTTATTTTTATAACTGAAGATCCAATACTCCTTTTTTATTAAGCTGATATCTTTTTAAACTTTTTTTACATTCAAGAAAACAAAAAATATTAACATTTATTTTTTCTTAAATAGTTTACAGAGTATTCATATATAGTTGTAATTAGTTTACAGAGTAATTTTTCACATTATGAAACAATGTGGCAAAACTACACTATATCTAATGTGGGTTCAGCCATGGTATGAAGTATCAGCAATAAACATGTTAAAAAAGCAGCATTAAAGCATGTTATCTTTGGAAACTATGTCAGATTCAAATGAGACCATACAAGCAGCAAAAACCTATATGCAGAGTAGAAAAGAAGCTAAGCTTCAATCCAAGGATCTGTCACACTAGCCTGTTCCTAATATTCAAATAATGAATAAACTAGACAGAGAATATAACACTCTCTCTTAAAGTATCATTACAGCCAAGCAATTACTCTTACTGTGAAATGCAGTCTATCCTAATCACTGTTTTAATGGTTATATACTGCATGTATCTTTAGCACAAAATACTTAACATTTATAATACATTTTCAGAACAATAGATATGGAAAGTTTGATGATGGTTCAGGAAGTATGATCTAAGAAGAACTTTCCATTCAGGAGCAGAGGGTGGAGAAAATGACAGAAATTTAAGATCAAATGATCCCCTGGAAAAATTAGAATGATCTTTAGATTTTTTTTGTGTTTTTGGCCTGATTACATGTATGAGTGTATGATTTTAAATCTATTAATACCCAAGGCGAATAACTTTAAAATAATTCATTATCCTTAATGAATAAAAATTACAATCGCTTTTTAGATTAAAAGTATCATTAAATTAATATGATTAAAGATTGTATTTAATTATATTTATATATTAGAATTTCTTAAAATAAAATTTATTTATTTAAATTATAGCCACCCACTCCATTAGACTCCGGGCAACTTACAAATACAAAAACAATTAAAACAATTAAAAACATACAACACCACAGGCAGACTGGACTAAAATAATAACAATAACAAACCAGACCAGACCAGGGGCCCTAAAACAGATTAACCCCAAGCCTGAGACTAAAGCCATGTCTTAAGGGCTTTTGGGAACCTCAGGAGAGAGGGCGCTGTCTGTATCTCTGGGGGAATTCTGTTCCCAGAGGGCAAGGGCTGTGACAGAGAATCTTGCTTGGCTTCCTGGTAGACTGCTGGCAGAAATTTCTTAGCAGCTTAGTGTCATGTATTGCACAATACTCTGATTAATTATCAAAACAATATGATGTTTTTTGTTCTATTTTTTTAAAAAGGATAATTAAAACAATTTAGACAATTATAGCATGTTAATCATAAAAAGGTTTTCCTGAAAAAAAAATCAGTAAAAATGTAAAATGGAGATTTGAAATTATTTTTACCAAGATGTTTGCAAGTACAACATTTTTATCATTGCCATTGCGCATTCCTCTGTGTTTTTGTCATTGTTTATGCTCTTTCCAGAGAACTATGAAGCAACTATGTCTTCCAGGCATGTAAACATTACTGATGTCAAACATCTGTTCTGTCCCTACAATTAACGCTATTAAAGGTGACCGATAAATTTGATTTTATGTTTGTGTGCACTCTCTATCTCTCAGACACATACACACATACTTTTTTCTTCTTTTTAAATGCACAAATACTTTTAAAAAATCAACAAGTTGCTTTATTTTCATAATAACCAGCCTGCTTATATCCTGGGATGAAACATAAGTTATTTACTTCAAAACAGTCTCAATGAAAAGTAACACATCCCCACAGTCCTATTGCAGTACAAAGCATTTGTGCTTATGCATGGAGATGTATTTTTTTCCTAGCAGCAGAAACATGTCCTGTTAAACTGGGAGTTGCTCTGGGGAGCATTTCCATTTCAGAGGGACATCAAGAAATTCAAGGCTGAAAAAAACAACAAAGAGCCCTTTGTGCAGAAATAAAGAATACAGGCATTTCGCTTGAAGTCACTAGAATGGATGGGAGATTTTAGGTGGATTGTTTACATTCACTCACTAAAATGTAATTATTATCATGGCCACCACTGACTAAGAGGATTCTGACACCAAAGAGCAGATGGACTTCAGCCTGAGGAAGCTGCAGGCATTCAAGGACTTGAGGCTGATCTAGCCAACAATCATACAAAGCAGCCATACCCACTCTGAGGATGAGGAACTGGAGCTGGAGTATCTGGCCAGTCTAAGACTACAGCATATGCAGTGGTAAGCAGAACCACAGTGCTCAGTTCAACTCCTTATCACCAAGGGCGTTCCCAGTCCTGAATGGCTTCACCAGTGTGGACTCAATTGCTAGCCTGGTTTCTCTCATTAGAAACAACTGACCAACCAACCTGAACTCTGTGTTCTTGAAACTGTGATCCTCTGACATCCTCAAACTCTGCCTTTCTGACCCCAGACTAGCTGCCAACCCACCAACAATGCTTAGACCACTGGCCTGTGACTTGTATGCTTCTGCACACTGCTTTAGACTCTGGCTGTTGGAAACTTACTGCAGGCAAGCTCTCCAGGGACTTTCTCTGTACTGTGCATGCATTTGCACATACAGTACTATGCAAAGGTTTTAGACAGGTGTGAAAAAATGCTGTAAAGTAAGAATGCTTTCAAAAATATATATTGTA